TGTCTCCACCTTCACAGTAACCCGTGACAATACAAACATAGCAACCCTACATTAAAATTAAGCACAAAAAGCAAATAAATAACAAGCTACCACTAAAAAGAAAAGTCTCTGGTAAATAAGTTTAGAACGTTTCAGAGCCTTACTTTCTCAACCCAAGCTTCTTTAAATTCGACAATGTACGGGTGTTGAACTCGCGCAATAAGAGCCATCTACATTCCACAAATCAGTCCCCAAAAGAAAGGGAAAAAAAAAAGAACATTTAGCCACATCTATATAAAAGAATAAAATCGATTGAGATACAAACAAAGCACAGTACCCATGCAATGAGCAAGAAATTAAACCTACCTCTTGATGAGCAGATCTCCTGCAACGTTCAGTTTGCCTAGCTAGCCTGATTTTCTTCAAAACATACCTGAACTCCAAAAAGAAGAAAAGACGAAAATTCATAATATATACATATTCATGTTCAAAGACTATATACACACATGCATATAAACCGTACTTCTTCTTCTCTGCCTTGTGGTGCACGAGAATGGCCGCACCAAAGGCTCCGCGACCGATCTGCTCCATGATCTCGTACTGATCCATTCGAGACTCCATTTCTCGTACCGTACACCGATCCACTAACAATCAACCGATCTAAATCGTGTCTCTCCACAATGTTCACGTCCGCATTTGCTCAAATAAATCAACTAATAAGTTCTTCTCACACCATTCTCGAATTTTCAGATCTCACAACGAACGCCTGCGAGCAGATCAAATCATTTGACACTTTCTCTGTTTCATATACAGACACTCTGTTCCCGTCTGTCAACCTCTAGTGGGAAGAAAAACGCTTTGGAGTTGAAAGATTTGATTTGAAAGTAATTATTCCACGATTAGATTCCTAATATCCTCCGCGATTCATTTCCTTTTCAAAAAAATAAAGATAGAAAAGAACCATTCCTCTCCACTCTTGCTTTCTTTTTCAGTTACTCCAACTCTACTCTTCAACTCTTCACTCCTGTGTACCAAAACGGAAAGGAGCTTTTCTCCTTCTCCTTCTCCTTCTTCTCCTTCTCCTTCTCCTTCTTCTTCTCCTATAATGATTAATTAACTGAACAGCTAACTATAAATGCCTTCTGTTGAACAATGGAGACTCCAAGGAGGGAGCTTATGGGTCTGCTTCTTTATACGCCGACACAACCAGCTGGTCTCCTCTTACCAGCTTGGATTATAGCCATTTCCCTCTTTTCTTTTTTCTTTTTTTTTCAGAAAAAATAATAATAATAATATTTTTTTAATTTGTATTTAAAAATATTTCAAACTAAAATTCACATTAAAATTTATAAAAAAAATTACTTCACGTTATTAATATATTTTTGTAATAATTATTTATTTTTAATTGGAAAATTAAAAATTAAAAATACAATTTAATTTTCTGGTTTTCAGATAATTATAAATTATATAAATTAATATTAAATATTTTTATCGGGAAAATAATTAATTAAGTAATTAAGGACATAATTTTTAATTTTTAACTCGTGAAATTACACATGCATAAGATTAAGTTGACTCCAAGTAATTATATACGTATATATGATATATATATATATATATATTATATTATATTATATTATATCTTATATGCATCATGCATCATGTGCGCAGTGATCATCCATTTCTTTTTCTTTTTGGATTTTATGGCAATAATTTAATTTGGTACTCATATATTATATATGGGTATCATGCCTATTACCTAATTAATTAATTAATTAATTAATCTAAAAAATTTGATCAACATAATAATTAAATTAATTAATTAATTAATTAAATTTTTTTGACCAACCTAATAATTAGTGCAAGATTGTTGGTATTCATAGAGACTTGTGTACGTAGAGATTATTTATATAATACTCTCTTATTTTTAAATGACAATAAATAATGTAACATGTGACATAACATATGATTAGTAATTTTATTTATTGGCTATTTGAATTATACTTTAAAATAAAATTTTAAATTTTTAACTTCTTACGAAAGTAAAATCGATGTATATTATATTGTACCGAAAAATTTCGTTCATTAAGTTTCATATTTATTAAAATAAAATTATGTGTAAAGAAATTATAGATCGATAATAATGTATTAAAATTAATTATTAAGGGTGTTTTATAAGATAACTTAAGTTATCATGATAATATTAAACCATAGTGGCCTAAAGAAGTAAAAGTCAAGTCACCTTAGGTTTGACCTTATAATAACAATAAGTGTGTGTGTGTATATGTGTGTGTGTACATATATATGTATGTGTATATTTATGTATGTATGTATGTATATGTATATGTATATGTATATGTATATGTATATGTATGTAATGGAGGAGTTGACATGACAAGCGAAATGGGATGATTAATTAAAATATAAGATAGGGTCCATGAATGCACCATGATGGGAGGGAGCGCCATGTGCAATGCTCCCGTGCTAACATGCGCCAGCCTTTTTTCCTCAGTACTTAAATCACTTCGGAATTTCTCGGGAGGCCACCGATGATTACAAAGGCTACGTGCCAATTAGACTCTCCACTCGTTGCCTAGCTGGCGGTTTCTCATTGGTCCACTCTGTCTCCCTTCCCTCCAGCATGGCCGCGGCACTCTCTGCGCTCCGCTAACATGCGCACATGCGAGTCGCGGAAAACGACGCTGACATCTTGGGGCAGAGCAAATGTTGCGTACGTCCGACCAGTGGGACCCACCCGTTTATAACGTGCTCGCTGAGTTGATGGTGAAGTACACCCTGGCGTATGCTAGTGTTACCCCAATCTCGATAGCTCCTGAAATAATAGAAAAGGAATATCAGCAGTACTCTATAATCACACACACACACACATATATATATATATATGGGTGTGGTATTTATAAATATATATATATATATGTATATGTATATCGCAAAAAATAATAATAATGTTGAATCAGATTCGGAGGACATGGATATAATTACACTACACTGTAATTATTATTTGCTTTGAAAAATTTACAGTGTAAACAAAAGAGGTGAATGTTTATGATTCATGCTAAGTTGGTATTTTCGTAAATTAATTTGATGTGGGTCATATGTATATATGTGTATATATATGTGGGGATTCAGTTTATGGTGTGTAAGGAGTAGGTTGGGTGTTGGTGAATGAATTGAAAGTAAATTGGTGGAGTATCAGCATCAATGGCAGTTTCCTTATTTATGAATAGTGCCTAAGTTCATTTGCTTTAAAATTCAAGAAAATTTGGAGTAAAGATAAAATCTATTTTAACATTAAGCAAAGTTACAGTGAATTACACTGCTTACAAGTTAGAACTGCCTATCCGAATTGTCCCAGAAGCTGGTGTCATATACACCAGCCATGGAGAATAATAGAAGGAAGTTTTACTATATTACATGCATATACTGGCTGCTCTTGAAACTTCAAAGAATAGTAGAAGGAAGTTTGCATACCTGGAGCTTGCCTACAATGGTCACCCGGCTCAATGCTTCCCATCTTTCGTCGAATCAGTACTTTTAACTTTTCCGAGTTTGTCCTACAAAGATCACCCGGGTGCCTGCTTTGTCTGAATCAGTACTCTCACTTTGCTTGCCTACAAAGATCACCCGCACGGCTACTCCCCCAGCTTCCGTTCAGGTCAATACTTTCACTTCCCGAGCTTGATTCCCAGTCTTTACAAAAGGGTTGTGTAATCCCTTGATAGAACATTTTTCACAGTGCATTAACCTTTTTTCTCTTCGAAGAATTGCTTCTTCAACCATCGCTTTTGGTAATAAGATTACGATATCATTTGGAAATTTCAACCAAAACCTATTTCTCATTCAAACCGTAACGCGCAAGTGATTTTACACTAGCATGGTTGCCTTAAACTACAAGATTAACAAGCAGACTTGTCACACAAAACCCAACAGAAATTAAGATTATATCCGGGCAAAAAATTAGAAAGCAAACCTATGTTTCGTAGAACATATCATTGTCTGAAGTTACTTTAGAAATGGTACATTTTCTTCTTGATGCAGTTTAATTGATTCAACAACTTTTAAAGCAAAGGCCTCATCCTCAGGGTAAGTATCTAGGGGATCAGACAAAAGAGGAACAGGAATATTAAGCACACCTTCAAGTGTGGCATGAAGGCAATAAGCGGAGTATGTTATGTGATATCCACCCTCTTGCACGATAAGGAGGCGGCCACCACTGTGTTTATCTGCCAGGCTACGCACTATCTGCCCAATTTCTCGATAACCAGACGTTGTAAGGCACTGCCTTCCATTTGAATCAAACTGCACAATTAGCATTACTCTCAAAGAATGTTCGTATATAGTTATGCCGGAGCTAGAGCCAATTTAGAAGTAAAAGGACGGAAAAACATCATCCACTTTATTTTAAGGGTCAATTATTTGCATTTGTGCTACGATAAATTACATTGCATCATGTTCGAGGAAGAAACTAGCACAGCAGAATCCTGAAGCTGACAATGGAAGACGAAAGCTAAATATATTGTTTTATAAAGCAAAAATAAAAAGATAAGTAGCATTTTTCTAGAATAACAGATTAAACTATGAAACTAATTGTAACTGCAATCTCGCTACAAAATAAAAATGTATAGAATCTAGAAAGAGAGAGCACTTGGTGAAAAAGGATGCTTAATCATTTCAAATATTCATCATGTATCTTTTCAAGAACAACTGGTTTCCACAAAAACAGTATCCTACAATTGTTAGCAAAACCGTAATCTATAAGAAAATCAGGAGGGAGAAAAAAACGAAGCCAATATTGAAGTTCACTCAATATATGGAAAAATGCAAGCAAGATTGTTATTTTCCAACAAGAAAATGGCTAGAGATTGGCTATAGATAAATATTGTTACTAAAGCATTTGCACTACAATAATGCGTGTTTTATTTGTCGTTTCTTTTTTCTTCTTCAGATGTTAAAAAAAAGTTCCCCATTCCTCATAGGGTAGAACAACAAATTTTCAAACGATGTCTAACCAATAAGACTAATCACTTCAAGCGTTCCTCGTTTTTCAAGTTTGAATTACTACACACTCTAATTTTAACATTCCATTTGATGCTATGAACCAACTTTATCACCTAGGATGGGATTCATTTACAATTTTCATGGTTACAACGACATTTTTCCTTTATTTCGGAATTTCAGTACTTGAGTGAAGATTTCTAAATTAAAACTCAATATCATACTGTCATTCCTACAAACTGACATTTGAAAATCTAGTTTTCCATCCTTTCATTTCATAAGAAAACAGAGGAACGTGTCAATTAGCTGCATTCTGCTCACTCATTCTGGTTTCTTATTTAGCAGATTATTCACCATTCAACGCATACTCCCATAGCGACCCACATTCAAATAATTCAACAAAAAGACATAAGAATCTGTCTATAAAGGTTACTTTTTTTTTTCTGCATGATAAAAATTTCTAAAATAAAAATTTCTTAAATAAAGATTAGAAAAAAAAGATTTAAACAGCTAAAA